AGAGATCCCAGAAAACCAGATTGTAGGGAATTTTTGTAAAAGCTGAAATAACTCGCATGGGAATTCAAACCCCTGAGTGCACCCGTGATGTGGTATCCTTTGGGATTCACCCGTCACCAGTTACAGGTTAACAAGAACCAGTTCCTCCTATGAGTGATTAATAACCCCAAACACGTTTGGGCTTGTTTCTCTTTTTGTCTGTTTTGACAGCAATATGATTATGACAGCAGCACTATCCGGAAGAAGATATTTCAAGAAGCACTGGTACAGATTACTTTGCCCACAATGCAGAAGACACTGGCTTCAACGTGCAAACCAGTAGGTTTCTGTGATTAAAAAAAAACCAATAATAAAAGGCAGGGAAGGATTAACACCTTGGCAGTAAATCCTCAACTCTGTAAAGCTGTTTTCTCTTGGGGAGCCATGCAGATTGGCTGCCTGCTCGGCCAAATGACGCTTTGATTTGCCAGTTCGTGGATTGGGTAGATATGGAGCATAGGGAAAATTTCAGGAAACAGAGAAACTGTATATACAGCTTGCTTTCTCAAAGATAGTTGCAGACCTTTGCCCATCCCCATTTCATTTCTTCCCTAGAGATCTGAAGTCCTCTCAAACTGGACTCCTCTTGACAGCTACAATTGTAGGTTATGAGCTTGTCCTTGTGTTCAGCAGCCCTGCTGCAGGCTGCAATTCAGTCCGTGGGAGAGGGCACTTTCCTCTTCAGCAGCACCCTGAGCCACATGCAAACTGGTGATGACCTCCTTCAAAGCCAAATGCCTGCTTGGGCAGCAGGAGCAGCAAGCAGACAGGCCATGCGCTTGCTTTCAGTGATTTTAAATGGAAGTAATAATTGCGTCAACAATCAGGAAACAAACATACAGAGACGATCTCTGTTGCCCTTAATCATACAGGTAGATTAGTACTCAGCAAATGCAGCTACCAGAGTTTTATGGAGATTTTATCAGTGTGGCTACATCAGGGGCCAGTTGGAATGCTGTTCACCTTGGCTCAAAATAAATAGTCTGTACCCTTCTTGAAGCCCATGCATATCCTCTTGCATTTTCACTGTACCTGCTGAAAGATGACTGCCCTAAGCCAGCCCGGCCTCTCTACCCTTTTGTTTCCCTTGATGTTCATCAGTTCCTGGAGGCTGTAAGCTCTCACCCACGGTGTGCTGCTCTTGCTGATGCTCTGCAGCTTGTTTCAGTTTCAAAAACAAACTTAAAACCAAGTGTTTTGCCAAGTTATGCTTGCGAGTCTTTGAGTATGGATTATTAAAACTTACAACTTTCAAAAATATATTTAAAATCACCCTCTTCTGTATGTCACTCTACTTTCTTTACTATTCCCCAAAATAATAGTGTCTTGTAGAGTGTCAGCAGTGCTTTCAAGACATGATGTCTACGCACAAGGGCAAGCATTTCATCACCTTGAATATATGTAAAGAGGGTGGAGTCCCGCATTGTGTCTCTGTCATACAGGACGGAGGAAGCGGTGGTGGTGCAAACTTCCCGCAAGCCCTTTCTGTTTAATTCCCCACAAGCCTTTTGCGTTTGTGCCTCTGCAGAAATGAGCAGCCAGCGCTGGAAGCGAATGTGTGGCACAATTGATATGCCCAGCCAAGTCTTGACCTTTTACTTGAAAACCTCCAGATGTTTGTATGTAGGCATTCTACAAGGCTTCTAGAAGTGGGCAGAGGTCACTTAATTTACTTTTTATAGACCACCAAGTAGCTGCTTAGTGATAATGACTCAGTTATTGTCTAGACAGCCTATTGCATATAAATCAGTAAGCTAAAAACGTTACACTCCTATTAGAAAAACAAAATGAAACCCTGTAGCTCCCATGCTCACCATGGATTTGCCTCCTTGGACAAACAGTGAGTGAGGCATTTCCTCACCAGCTATTTACTTCAGAATTGTTTATTATAGTGCAGATGGCAATCATCTATAGTGCTTTTAAATGTAATTGTAGTGCAAGAATACTGTTTGAGAAGTGCATAATAAATTGTGAACTTACATAGTTCCTTTAGTCATAGTTCAAATAGTTCACCTCAAGAGCCAGCAAGGAGCATTGCAAGACCCGCTAGATGGCATCTCCAAGGTGCTCTGTTGAAGTAGGACTCTCCGAATCTCTCGTTTTTATATATCTGTTCCTTTCTTTGTGTCTGCACAGGAGCTGCAGAAATACGAGCAGTTCATTTTTGCTGATTACACTAGCGTGATCCAAGTAGAGAATGTGTATGAAGAGATTTTATATCAGACACTGCTTGAAGAAACCCTGAAAGGTAAGAACATCCTTGAGGTGACAGTAATAACATTTCGGCTGTTGGCCAGTGAGCTCTTGCTTCAGAGCTTCCCAGAGTCCTAATCTGGCTGTTTCAGACCCAGGCCCCACTTTCCTGAAGGCTGGTGGTTACAATGCTACAGTGTTTGGATTCAGCTCACTAAAGATGTGTGGCAAGCCCTAAAATCTGAATTATGGGGCAACTTTACTAAACCTGGAAAACTCCAAGTGATAGCTTGGCACAAGCCTATTTCTAACAAAATGTAATTATGCCAACTTCATTTTATCTTGATTCCCTGGGCCAAGGAGTGAAATTATGCTCTTGTTTGCATAGACTCAGTGATACCTAATGGCAACAAAAATTAATTTCCCCAAATGAAATGTACTGCTGGATGTAGTTTCCAGTACATCACTGATGCCAGTGCAGCACTCCCTGCAAATCTCTCTGCTTTTGTGTCGGAAAACGAAACTATTCTTGATGGCATATGTAGATGTATAAAATACTTTTATCTCTCTGGATCTGTCTGTCTATATCCTAGACAAAAGACAAGCTTCTGCATTGCACAATAAGTTTTAATAGCTCCTCTTTGGCACTCTTGTTCAAAAATATCAGTCTAATAATTAATGTAACGAGCACACATTTATTCATATATTCAGTGTAAATACTTCTGCATTGAAACATTACCTTTGTGCATTGCGGGTCCTCTGGTAGTTTTCTATTACAGCAATGCTTAGGTCAATATTGAAGTTCCATTATTCAGAACAGATAAAGTCCACCCCCCCCAGAGAAATGTAAACTAAAAAAGCAAGCTGAAAATGAAAATTACTGTTGTCTGTAATATCAAAATGTATGACATTAGAAACTCAGGAAAATGGTGTACCTCTTTCAAGGTACCTCTGTCAGTCTTTCCAAAACAGTTTGATCTTTGTTTTATTTAGTGATAAAAGAAGCTGCCATTATGAAGAAGCACAACCTCTTTGAAGATAACTTGAATTTGCCCTGTGAAAGCGTGTCCAGCTTAACGGACCTGAAGACCCCTTCAGGATCAGCACAAACCACTCCTGCGAAGAAGCCTTCCACCGCCCGAGCCGAGACGTCAGACACTGAAACTCAAAGTGACGAAACGCTCATTGTGACGGAAAAAATTTCTTGGGAGAAGGATGCTGACAATAGAAAGTCATCAGACAAAGAGGCAGTCACTTCTGTTAATACAGCTGGTGATCAGGCAAGCAAAAGTGAAGAAATGGTCGTTACAGACATCGGTGAAATACAGGAATCCCTTCCAGCTACCCTTACAAAACAAGAAGGTGCAGAGGAAAAAATCGTTTTGGAGAATGAAGACATGGTGAAAGCTGAGTGTGTAGCGAACACTGAGAAAGAGCTTGAGACACAACAAGAAGCTGTGGAGGAAGAAGTAGCTCCTGGAACTGAAACTGCAGTGAAAGATTTTGGAGCCAGCGCTAAAAAAGAACTTAGGGTACATGAAGGAGCAGTGGAGGAAAAGGTAACTTCTGAGAGTCAACTGGCAACGGATGCTGCGTTTGTCAGTGGCACTGAAAAAGAAAGCAAAGCACAGGAAGAAGTTGCTGAGATAAAGCTGACTTCCCCACATGATAATGTAGCAGAAGCAGAGATTTTAGGGAATGCAAAAAAGAAAATCAAGGTAGAAAAAGAATTATCTCAGAGTGAAAATGTGGTAGGAACAGGGTTTGAAGAGGCTAGTAAAAAAGAAAGCAATGACCAAGGAGCGAGTACTGAGACAAGGGTTATTTCCCAGGAAGAAAACACAGGGAATGGCGGGTTTGGGGATAATCCTGAAATAGAAAGCAAGTCAGAAGAAAAGAGCTGTAAATCCCCTGACGATGTGAATGAGATAAGGAGTTTGCTGATGGTAACAGTTGAGATAGCAGCAGATACTCCAGCTGAGAACATAAAGGAGATTTGTGAAGGTGAGAGATTAAAGTTGCAGGAGCACAATAAAGGGAATGACGAGTTGAGTAAAATGGCTGTGACAGAAATTCAAGTGAGCCAGACAATGATGAATAAAGATGCAGCAGAATGCGCAGAGTTCAAGGAGGACCGACCATCTTCATCTAGTCTGGGGACAGATGGTACGAATTTAGAGAATGTGTCCAAGGGGGCCTGTGGTATAGCAAAAGCAGAGTGGCTGGTGGAAAGCTCAGATACACCTCAGGAGGCAAACGCAGAGGTGGATATCAAGCAAAGCGTTTGGTATACAGGTGTGGGAAGCTGCCAAAGTGATAGACTGCAGCCAGAGGAACACACTGAAAATGTGTCTGAAGGCAAAATATTAGATGGGGAGGAAGGAGGAGCAGGGAATAGCCATGCCGTCCCAGTGGAGGTA